TCTATGGAGTTTACCTTAGACTTCTACCCAAGCCTATTCCTGGGATTCCGTACAATCCTGAGGCTACGCGCTCCCTTTTCGGCGATGCGCCTAGCATGTTAAAGGAGACGGTGAAGACGGGCGAGTTTATGGCATGGATGCGAAAACAGTCAGAAAACATGAACGCGCCCCTCTGCCAGATATTTCTGCGGCCGTTATCTAACCCTACGCTCGTTCTCGCGGACTGGAGAGAGGCCCAGGATGTTCTAATGAAGCGGAAGGACTTTGACCGGTCAAGCTTCACAAGGGACTTGATGGCCCCGATCGCGCATCATCATATTCGCATGAGTACCGGCAGCGAGTGGAAGGACGCCCGCAAGCTTACTCAAGATTTGATGATTCCCGCATTTCTGCACAGAGTCGCCGCCCCTGCTATCTATTCCAAGGTCCTAGATTTCTTACACCTTTGGGAGCTCAAAGAGAATCTCTCGGAAGGCAGGCCTTTTCACGCGCAGACGGATATCTACCACACTATCCTCGACTCCGTCTGCGCGTTTTCGTTTGGAGCTAGCTTTGAATACGCAGCTGTGCGCCCGCAGTCGGATCTTCTTGAGAGTCTAACACCCGAGCAGAAGTCGGCTCTAAAGGGAGACATCGACGATCCCGTTCGATTCCCCGAGGCTGCCCTCCACGAGAATCTCGAGGTTAGCTTGACTGCGGGACACGTCCTTGAAAAGCTGATGAACTCTGCTGCTCCTAAGTTTACGCTGTGGTGGGAGAATATGCGGCCTTCTTTCAGGAAGACCCTCGCTGCTAAAGATCGGTTCGTCGTGGGTCAAATTGATAAGTCTGTAAAGAAGATGAATGCGAACGGCACCGCGGACGATTCCTGGGTACGCTCAGCCGTTGACCATATGATTCTGCGCGAGACGGTTCTGGCCGAAAAGAGCGGCCGAGAACCGCAGTTCTTCAGCCCCAGCATGAACGACGAGGTAAGAAAAATCGAAACTTGTTTAAAGATTTTGGTGTGTCCATATCCGCTTATAATTATATAAAACAGATTATTTTCAACGTTGTCGGAGGTCATGAGACCACTGCTAATACTTTAGTATGGGGTTTGAAGTTCCTAACGGATAATCCCGCGGCACAGTCACGTCTTCGCTCCGCGCTTCACGCCGCCCACCCTGCGGCGCTGGCGGAGAAGCGTCTTCCCACCCTAGATGAGATCACCCACACTACCATACCTTACTTGGACGCCACTATGGATGAGATGTTGCGTCTTAGTGCCATGCCCATAACTAGGGAAGCAACCTGCGACACCGAACTCCTAGGACATCGCATACCCAAAGGAACCGTCGTTCTTCTACTGTCCAACGGGCCAAGCTTCCTCTCCCCATCTTTCGAGGTACCCGAAAGCAAGCGCAGCAAGACCTCCCAGGCGACTAGGGTGAGGCAGTGGAACGAAGCCGAAGACATGCGCGCGTATCGTCCCGAGCGCTGGCTGGCGAGGGGCGAAGACGGCGAGGTCAGGTTTGACGCCACCGCCGGGCCGCAGTTAGCTTTCGGCCTTGGCCAGCGGGGGTGTTCCGGCCGTAGGCTCGCCTACACCAAGATGAGAATCGTCCTTACTCTGATGCTGTGGGAATTCGAACTCCTCTCGGTTCCCCCCTCGCTGTCGAGCTATGCTGCTAAGGATGGGCTTGCGCATACGCCGCGACAATGCTTTATCCGTCTGGGAAAAGTGAAGTATTAGATCCTGTTGTTCCCTAGCTCTGCTTGGAAAGGAGGGGGGGGTTCGGTGTTTGGTTTTGGCGCAAGGTGGTAGGATAGACCTGTATTGAAGTGAAGCATGTATAGTGACAGTTAGATTATATACCTATCCCGAATTGGGGTTTGTTACTCCTTGGCTACATTTATGTTGTACAATACGAAGAATATCTAGCTGGTTAAGCTGTACTGTCTTTTTAAGTATCTACCGTTTCGTTTAAGAATACCTGGTGTGATTGTAGTTTTTGAGTGATGTTTGTTTTTATATTCCATGGTTTGGAATGAGTAATAGATGAAAGGAAGATGAGCCCGTGTAAGTGGTTATACTGGGAGATGGTTCAGTCTGAAGCTTTTAAGTTAAAACTTTGATAGTTATAGGCTCGTGTAATAACCGTGTTCCTTTTCATGTTTTGGTTGGTTACAGTTGGTATCGTGTTTCGGAACCTTGTGTATTTCACTCAAGTAATTCATTAAATCGATCGATTACATCAGTTCCAACACTTTTAAACCTTGTTAAATCGATTTTTAAATATAGATGTTTATTGATTCAACTTCGTATTTTTCTTCTTCTCCTTTTGTGAAAGGGGCAGAGAACCAAAAACAAAATGCATAAAAGTCCAACATCTACTACACCAATACGTAGGATATTAAAGAGATAAGTGATACACGAATCTGCAAGACCATTACTTTACAAATTTCTGTGGCATTATATTTTGCGTTCATTATGATAACCTAGTTGCTCAAATCACTGCCACGGAATATTTATATAGTAAGGAGTCAGCTTCAATTCCTTTAAGCGGGGTTGAATTGGTTTACGATAGATGGTACATTTTTCCATATACGCCCTCTATTCCCCAATCTATACCTGTGATAATGTCGCTATATACCCATACCTACTCCTATATCAACTGAACCTCCCATATAACTACACTTTATACCGAATGCTTCTCAACTGTAGCGTAGAATTTATTCTTATATCTATACGACACGACGGTTAGAGAAAATCTAAAGTTAGGTTTAATGAGTTACTCACGCTACGAGAATCAAATCCTTCCACTCCATGTCCTTGTCGGTTGTGTTGTGCGGCGTAATCTGGAAGCGTCGGAAGATGTTTCCGAAAACAACCCACATCTCACACCAGGCTAGTCTGTATCCTTGTTAGCAACCATGTTTACCCGACAATGCGTTAGGGAGGGATGGCAAATCTCTTACTCTTTGCCCAGACATTGGCGAGCCCCCTTATTGAAGGTGGCTAGATACCTGTCGAGCCTAGCAGCGTCGTCGGCCAACCATCGCTCGGGAAGGAATTCGTTCGGCTGGTCCCAGACGTCTGGGTGACGGTTAAGGATATAGGGGGACATTTGGATGTTGACCTGAGAAGCGCATGGCGCAATGTTAGAAAATATGCTATATCATACAGATGGTTTCTTCACTTACGCCTGGCTGCAAATATTTACCGTAGAGCTGGTATCCTTCTTCGGGTACGGTTCTAGGAAGACGTCCGGGTAGAGGGCTTCCAGCTCTCAGTATTTCCTTAATGGTGGCAGTCTGTCAAATGTGCATGTTAGAAAATCATTCTTTATCCGCAACAGGTTTGCAAATCTCTTACCAGATAAGGTAGCTTCCTAACACGCTCGTATGTGATCTCTTCTTCGAGCGACGGGAACTCCTCCGAAAGCTCACGGAATATCTTCGCGTAGACTGCGGGCTTGGTGTATACTTGGTAAAGACCGTAAATTAAAGCAGTTGAAGTGGTGTCGTTTCCAGCAGTCAGAAGCATGACGAGTTCGTCGTTCAGCTCCTCGAGGTTGGGGACTTGGTGATCCTTGGCGGCTTTTGGATCCATAAGCATATCTATAACAGCCGATCGCTCGCCGTAGCTCTTTTGCAACTGACGGGCTGCATTGCTCAGAGGACCTCCGGCCTGGTGCGGGTTGAAAGTTTCAAGATATCTCCCGGTAATGTTAAGACAAGCCTACACATAAAGTCAGATAAGCTAAACGACTATAGGTAAAATCCAGGCACTTACACGCTTGAAGCTGAATAGGGGCATGGGGAAAATGATATATGTGGTCATGGATGCGGCTTTCAGCGCGATGGCTGAAATCGTGGGGAACGAAGTGCCAACCCATCCTACCTTGAAAGCCGCTTCAAGGTATTCCGTGAGCTGGTTGCGAAAGTTGGGTTCCGTAACGCAGCCTAACTCTTGACCGAGGATGATCTTGGAGATGATATCCATCGTAAAGGCTTTTGCGGCAGAAGTGACGCATATCGTCGATGAATTCTCTGCCGCTTCCTCGAACCTCTTAACCAGCTGCTTCGTCTTCGCCAAAATCGCGGGAGCAAGTTCTTGCACCCTAGAGCCCGATAAAGCCGGAGCCAAGACCTTTCTCCGGACGCGGTGCCTGGCCGGGTTTGTCTCGCCGATCAAAGTCCCCGGAAACGAGATGTTCAGATAGAAGTGAGGGTCCTTGGTGAAAGTCGAGTTGGTTCTCACTAGATCTTGGTACACCTCCGGGTCGCTAATGTGTATAGTGTTCACGCCGACCCTAATTACAGGCCCTAGCATGCGCATAAGCTTGTGGCGCACGATAATTAAACCGGGGGCGTTAACTTACCGTGGAGCTTGTGAAGCCTGTCGATCTCGAACAGCAGCTCTCCATTTCGATAATAATTCCAGTATAACTCCCACCACGAATCCGATACGGCAGCGATCTTAGACCCTGGGTATTTTGACAGGGGATGGAAGTATATTCTGTATATCGCTAGGAATACCCAGCATACTAGTGCCCAGGGAGCAAGAAGCAAAGCTCGGTCCAGCATGTTGAAGATGGTTTACTCGTGCTACGAGTAAATGTAATCTCCAAGAGTTGAGCTTTCCGAGGCCACAATTTCCCGCGTAGACTTACTATTTCTTTCATATATCTATCTCACAAATTTCTCAGTCTTTCGATTCATAATCCTGCTATCTCAAAATCTCACGACCCGATTACATGTAAGCCCTACGGCGGAGTACGAGCCCCGATAAATTTCGGGCCATGTTTGTCGTCGGCCGATAAATTTCGGTCGGTAGGCTACCGTGTGTAATGTAGGATCTAGGCCGCTCACATTAGCTCAGCCTCATTAGCTGAAGGATCAGCTGTTGTGAGTAAGCCAATCGCACGCCTCGACCCATTTCAGCTGATTTTGGTGCGTTTCAGTAGCTGTAGATATTCGAGATTGCCGTCAAAGCTGCAGTCAGTTCTAAAAAAAAGAACCACGCGAAGGATCTATGCAAAGTCCATCTTACTACTCTGGCTTCTCGCGTGGAGCGGAAGCGTCCGCGGCGAACCTAACCGTCGCCATGAGGCTCGTACGATCCGGGTCCGAAGGAGTGAGAGAGCGCTGGCGTGGCTGCGCGATACCTACCTAGCTCATTTTCTATCTACCTATTCTAAGAGGCGTAATTCCGGGGCCATGAGGGTCCATGATATTAGCAATCTCAGAAGTAGCCCGTATAAGTATGGACGTCACCGTAGCACGGCTTGTAGATTTGGAAGAAGAGAAGCATAGAGTTCGGTTTCCTCAGTCTCTTTCCTCCTAGTTTCTTTTCATAGTCTATTTCCTCATAGTCTATTTTCCTCATCGTCTTTCATATAGTCGATCTTTTATTCCCTTACCATTTCTCTCTTGTCATCATTTCACCATGCGCGTGTCTTGGCTTCCTCTCTTGGGTTTACCCCTTATTCCCTCAGTATTGGCTGCTCCCAATCCGGCAGCGGTCGATAGCTTCTTGCAATCTATCGACGTAAACCCAAACTCGGTACCTGCGAGCTTCAAGAGCCGGAGCGGTATTGACTTCACCTGCGCCGTCCTCTCCATTCTCGGCAACAACGGTAGCAGCAGCGGCAATGAGACTCAATACGTCGCTCGCTCGAACAGCGATCTTTACACTCAGGAGGCACACGCTCATTGGTCGGCAACGGCATGGAAGTCTCCTTCTTGCATCTTCTCACCTAACAACCTCCAAGATCTAAGACGCGCCGTTCTTCTCGCTGGTTTCACAAACACCAAATTTGCCGTCCGCAGCGGTGGTCACTCGCCTCTTTCCAACTGGGCCAGCATCGACGGTAGCCTGCTGATTTCTATGACTAACATTAACGATTTGGAATACGATGAGGCTACTCAAACCCAGCGATCTGGAATGGGCAACCGCTGGGGCGCCGTCTACGGGCATCTTGTTCCTTACGGACGGATCGTTGTCGGTGGCCGTCTAAACGTAGTCGGACTTGGCTTATCCACGGGAGGCGGTCTCTCTCACTTCTCAAACGAATGGGGATGGGTTGGTCAGAACGTTGTTGCATACGAAGTCATGCTTTCCAACGGTTCTCACGTCAAGGCCAGCGCTACCGAGAACCCGGACCTGTACTATGCCATCAAGGCCGGATCCAACAACTTTGGTATTATCACTCACATCGTCCAGCGCACTTACCCCATGGGCAAGATCTGGGGTGGTCTCGTTCAGTTCCCTGGTAACTCCTCGAAGCAGTTCATGGCTGCTATGGCTGAGTACCAGGCTAAGGGCCAACTTGACACCAAGTCTGCCATCCTCCCTTACATCGGCATCAACAACGACACCATCATCGCTACCTTTGTATACTTAGATGGTGTAGTCCGTCCTGATGCTTTCAAGCCTTTCTTCGAGATCCCCGTTATCGCAGACTATACCCAGGTTTTCGACAGCTTCTACCAGTTTGCCCAAGTCGACCTCCCCTACGCGGTACCCAGGTGGACTTACGCTGCCACGACCCTAGCCTTTGACAACAGCAGCAAGGAGACCTACGAAGGATTGATCGACGTGTTCTCTCAATTCACGTCGCGCATCCAGAAGGTTACCGGTGGTTCCTTTGCCCCTATGGTTCAGCCCATCTCCAAGAGCATGGTTGACAAGTCGCGAGCCCTTGGCGAGGATCCCATGAACGTGGAGGCCAAGGCGCAACTATGTAAGTAACAGGATTCCCGAGTATCCCCGCACGTGGATCAATGCTGATAATTTCAGGGGTCGGTATCAACATTGGTTGGTCGTTGGAGAAGGACGATGCAGCTGTCTACAAGATCCTCCAGGACAGTTTGGCGGCAGTAGAGAGCTACACCAAGGCCCGCAATGTTCACCTGCCTTTCGTCTTCCTAAACGACGCCTGGGCTGGACAGAAGCCTTTCGTCAGCTACGGGCAGCAGTCCCACAACAAGCTCAAGGCCGCCAGCACGAAGTACGACAGAAGCCAGATGTTCCAGCGTCTGGTCACGGGCGGATTCAAGCTATAGTCGATAGATCATCTCTACTTGGCTACCACTTCTGGATAACGATTTTTTTTTATAGATTACTGTTGGGATATAGATGGGTGCATAACCTTGTAAAGTAGCTGTATAGACAGAAAGGGATCGCATCGAGTGTTGGGCGTTGTACAAGGCGATGAGGGGTCATTTCTTTTTGGCTACTATTCGATTCGTTACGATAAGATATTATCAGATTAGTCAACCCTGTCAGGTGACCTGAAAACTCTGTATTCTATATAATTACACGCGTTTTATACGCTTTTACGATTTTTACAATATATAATTAAATTATTAATAATTATATTAATATTGCTTTAATTATTATTTAATTATATATATTAGCTATTTAATAATTAAAAGTTTTATATGTTTAAACGTAAAAGTTTTAAAGATATAATTTTAACTAACGTTATTTAACCGTATATATATTTTATTATAATAAAATTTATATAAAATTATTAATAAAATAACATTTATTATAAATATTATCGTATTTGTTAGTAAGTTTAATCTAGCTTTTTTTAATAATTAAAAAGCTTAAAATAAAAGTTTTATTATTTTTGTAATAAATTATAAACTGTAAAATTAAATTAATTTTAATAATATTAATAAAAACAATAATTTAATATTTATCTTTTTAATTTAATTAAAAGTATTTAATATTAAATAATATAATAAATAAATCGAAATAATAATAAAAATAATTATAAAATTAACTTTAATAAAAATCAAATTTAATTTATAAAAATTAACCTTTAAAAAATCTTTTTAATTAATTAAAAAAATAATTTAAAAAAATTAAAAACATTATATTAACGATTATATTATATATATAAAAATGTTAATATTTTATAACAATTAAAAAATTAAAATATTTTAATTTAAATAATTCATTATTAAAATTATATTAAGAAATTATATTAAAATAATAGTTAAAGTTATAAACTTTTTTTATAATATATATATTACTTTTAAAAATTATTTAAAAATATACGTATTAAAATATAAAGTTTAAAAAAAATATAATAAAGTAATAATATCGTTTTTTAAACCTTTTAAAAATTAAAATATTTAAATATTTATATAAAAAATTACCTTTTTATAAATAAAATAATAAGGTTTAATAATAATTAATAACCTTTAAAAATAATTTTAAACATTTGTTTAAACTTTAAAACTTATAATTTTTAAATAAATAATTATTTAAAATATTATTTTTAAAAAAAGTACTTTCGATAAAACCTTATAATATAATAAATTATTAATAACGTTAAAATATTATATATAAATTTTTAAATATAATAAATAAAAAAGTAAAGTATATAAAAAGGCTTTTAACTTAATATATAATATTAATAAAGGTAAAAATTCAAATTAAAAAAATAATTTAAATTGCTAAAAAAGGTTTTTATAGCCTTTTAAATACTTTAAAAAAAAAAAAAATAACTTTAATAAACGTAAAAAGGTTAAAACTAACCCGAAATAATTATTAAAAATAAATCTTAACGTATATAATAATAAAAAATATAAAGTATATTAAAAACGTTATAATTTTAATAAATATTTTTATATTTTTAAATTAAAATAATTTAATTATTTTAAAAATAATAAAAAATTTACCACTTTTATAAATATTAACTTTAAAAATAATTTTAATTTAATAGTTAAAGTTAAAATTTTAAAAAAAAAAAACTAATGTTAAATTATTAAAAATAAAAATAGTTAATTAAACTATTAAATAATAAATTTATAAGTTGGCGTTTTATTTATAATATTAATATTAAACGTTATTTTTAACGTAAATTAATATTTTTTAAAAAATTTAACAATATTAAATTTGGGAATTATTATATATATATTTAATTAAATTTTTTAATTTATTAATTTTAAGGTTATTTTATTAAATAATTATATCGTTATTAATAAAAAGTGCGTTAAAATAATAAGTTATAAAAATGTAAATATATATATTAAATATATTAAAAACGTTATTTAAATTAAATTTATAAATATTATTTATTATAAAAATTTTATTTATAACTTTATATTATTAAAACTATTATAAAAACAAAACTATTAATAAAATAATTGCAATAAATTTATTTATTTAAAATATTTAAATAAAGTAATTATTAATAAATTTATTAATTATTATAATTAATTTATATTAAAAAATATATTTTATAAAATTTTAAAAACCGCTTTTTATATATGCCGTAACAATTTAAATTTAAAGTTTATAAAACCATTTAATATAATTAACGTTTTAAAATAATATTTAAAATTAAAATATCCAAAATTTTAAATCTTAAAATATTTAATTAATATTAATAAAAGGATATATATTAAAAAATTAATAATAATTAAATATAAAATATATAATATAATTAAAATTAAATAATAAATAAATTGTATATTATAACATATTAATAAATTTTCTGGCATAAAATTAATGCTAAATTTTTACTTAATAAAAGTATTTAATAAAAGATTTATAAACTTTATATTAATTATAAACTATTAAATTAAAATAATTTTCGATTATTATTTATATAATAAAAAGTTATAAATAATTATTATAATATTAAAAAACCTAATTAAATTATTAAAAATTTAATATAATATAATATTATATATATAAAAATCAAATCGAAAAATTATTTAAATAAAATTAATAATTAAAGATTATTTTAAATTATTATATATAAAGTTAAAACTTTTAATAAATTATATTTAAACATAAAATAACACTATTAAATGTTTAAAAAATATAATAAAAAATAAAATTTATATAATAAAAATAAATTTAAAATTATTTTATTTATTATAACCTAAAATTTATAAAATTATTATATATTTATATAACCGCATATTTTAATATATATATAATTAACGTATATTATATAACCGCTTTTACACCTTTATAATAATAAATAATAATATTACAATTTAAAAAAAAAAACTTTAATAAATATATTTAAAAATTTATAATTATAAAGCTTACGTTTTAATAACTAATACATTAAAAAAAACTAATAAAAAGTAACGATTAAATTTAAAAACTTAAATAAATTATTTTATAAACTACATATTAATAAACATTTATAAAATTTAAAACTTTTATACTAATAAAATAATAAAAATTAAAAACGTTATTTTTAATAAAAATAATTTATTTAACGGTAATTTCAAAAGTTTAAAAAAAAGATTATATAATAATTTTATATATATAAACGTTAAATAATACTGCAATATATTATAATTTATTTAATATTTTTAATTAAATATTACCTTAATTATTATAAACGGCGTAAGTAATAATAAACCTAAATAAAATAAAAATATAAATATATTAAAGTTAAATTTAACGTTATTAATAAATAATATATTAAAAAAATTTAAAATAATAAACATATTATTAAAAACTAATTATTTTTATATAACTATTAAATTTACCCTTTTATTTATTCTAAACTTATTACCGTTAATAACGTTATTTATAACAATAATATATACTAAAATGTTAAACTATTTTAATATTTTACTTAATAAATAATATTTATATACTAAAATTTAATAAGTTTTATTTAATATAAATAAATTAAATAATTAAATAAAAATATATAATAAACAAATAATTAATAAAATAGTAAAAATTAAATTATTTTAAAATTTTTTTTAATATAAACCAATTATTTAAATAATACATTTTAAAACAATATTTTAATAAATTAATAAACTTAAAAAAATATATTAAAAAAACTTCTTAAAACCTTTTAAAAAATATAATAATATTTAAAATTATTTCTATAAAATAATATTTAAAAAAGTAAAAAAAATACATTTTAAAAATTACTGTTAAATAAATATATAAAAAAAATTTTTTATAATAATATTAAATATTTTAAGTAATAAATCTTTAATTATATATAAATATATATATATAAATTTAATAAATATAAATATTTATAAAAATATAAAATAAAATTAATAGTTTAAAATAATTAATAAATTTTAAATAATAAAAAAATATACGTTTTAACGTTAATAAAGAAATTTTTTAAAACTTTTATAATAATAATAGTAAAATTTAATTTTAAATTAATATAATATAATATAATTAACGCCTTTATTAATATTAAATTAAAAAAAAATATATTTATAAAAATATTTTTAAATTATTAACGTTTAAGTTATATATTAAAATTATTAAAAGTATTATATAATTTTAAAAAAAATTTTTTACTTTAATAATAAAAACTTATAATAAAGTTAAAAGTTTTTGGTTTTAAACCAATATTTAAAAAATTATATATATTTATTAATAATAAGATATTATTATTTATTTACGTTAATAATATAATAATTGTATATTTAAAATTATATAAATTATATATAATTTACTTTATATAACAATTAAAATAATATTATTAATTTATAAAAAATAATAAATTATAATAATTTTTAAAAATTAAAATAATAAAAAATTGTAAAAAATAATTAATTTAATTAAATTAATTTATTTATATTAATAAAATAATTAACTTTATAAGATTTTTAATTTAAATATTTATAACGTTAATAATAAAAAAAAAATTATTATTGTATAATAAAATAACTTTAAAAAAAACTACGCGCTATTATTAGCAAAAAATAAGGTTTATTTTATACGTTGCGGTAATTATACGCTTTAATATTGTTTTTATAATTTTAAAATTATTAAAATTTAATAATAATTTTAACCTAAAATATTATAAAATTGTTAATTATATATTAAATTACTTTAAATATATATAATTATATGTATTATAATTAAAAGATAATAATTTTTTTAAAGTTATTAATAATATTTTATTTATTAATAATATTTTTAATTAAAAAAGTTTTTAAATATATATAATAAAATTATTTAATAATATAATAAATTAAAAAGTAAATAAATAAAATATAATAATAACGTTTATAATAAAAATTAAATTATTAACTTTATTATAAATAATTAAAAAAGTTATGTTTATTATATAATTAATTTAAAATTTTAAAATTAATTTAAATTAATTTATAATAATTATTAATTATAATAATAAATAAATAATTAAATTAATTAATAAAGATATTAAAAAATTAAAAATAAAACTAAAATATGTTAATATATATAATTATTAACTGTAATAAAAAGTTAAAAAAAATCATATATAAGTTAATTACGTAAAATTAAAAAATATAATTATAAATAAATTTATAAAAACCTTAATTAAGAAATTATATAAAAAATTTAAATATTAATTAAAATTAATAAATATTATAAAACGTTTAAAAATTAAAAAATTATAAAAATTAAATAAAAAAATAGTTTTAAAATAAAAAATATAAACAATTAACAATTAAAAGCCTAAAAATACGTTAAATAAAATAAAATCAAATTGTTAATAACTTAAAAATAAAGTTATTTTTAAAAATATAAGATTAAATTAACTTTACGGTTACATTTAAAAAGATATATTAAATTAATTAACTTTATTAAATAACTTAAAAACTCTGCATTTTATATAATTACATACGTTTTATACACTTTTACAATCTTTATAATATACAATTAAATCATTAATAATTATATTAATATTGCCTTAATCATCACCTAATTATATATATCGGCTGTTTGACAGATGTTTTAATAATATCAAGATTCTCATTACAATATACGTACGACTAAACTTGAATGGAGTGTTACACCTGACTGCCCAGCTGCCCTGAGTGATCCTAACTAAACCCGGTGTCTGATCTAGCTAAGATGGGTTTAGTCGACTTTAATTCTCCATGATGACAACCTTCTGCGGGTGAATGCTACGCTGTTCTTATTTGCCGGCTTGGAGTCTGAAAATAGTAACCTACGTCACGTAGGGTAAGGATGGATCTGTGTACTCAGCCACGAGATCGTCGAGATGCGTCGTGGCAGGGGTGAAGCTGTATTGTATTTACCTAATGACTACCTAAAGTATTTATCTAAGTCACCAGTCCGGTTTTCCCAAGTTCTTATATGAGTCCTTAATGGGTTTCCGCACGAGCCGACCTATCACTAAAAATAATGAGAATAATGTGGAAATTGGGAGAGACATTGTACATAGGGCGTATTTCATTCAGATCCAGGGAACTAGTGTTTTCCCAATACAACATCCTTTTAATTTAGAGTATCGGGAGTGTCGATAAGTGGTGCGCGAATATTCAAGTAAATACCCGAGTAGTTATTTTCCTAGCCTGTAGTAAACTGGTTGAAATAATATATCATTGATGATTTCCATGTAGAGGCATCATCATACAGTCTTCGTACCAATCCAGAGCGGAGTTGAAGTACAGGTGAGGAAATTTCCTTGCCGACTACACGTCGCTTGGACATAACCAACACCAATAGCATCAAACGACGATCTACAGCGTTGTTAGTGACATGATTTCTCGGAAAATGAATTTTTCACTTACGAGTCGCTACAGTTCCAATGCTGCTTAATAGCCAACACGTTTATTTGCCGGTCGAAGCTGAACGTTGCCGTCGTCGTGGAACTCTCCTCGGTATCCGACTCGCAAGACCCAGTCAGAGTATTATTCTGGCTTCCCGAAGTCGTACAGTTGAAAACATCCGTATTGGCCATATTTTTCAAGATGAAGGACGGACCAGTATCAGACGAGGGCGCGCTCGAGGACGGCGAGCCGGGAACTTGTTCGTAGCGACGTAGCCAGTTCTCGAGCTGCCACGATTGGTACCTCTCTGCGTTATCCGCGCAAGAATCTGCTGCTAAACGAGCCGGGCTTCCTGTAGTAGTAATATCCAAACCTTCACCCTTTAACATGCAGCTGGTGCCGTCCTCTTCGCTCGTCGTGCAATCTAGATCTAGATGGAAGGATCCTATAGCTAAGGCGTCGGATCTGTCCCCGTGATGTCAGTTTCGTTTTATGTCTGAAGACCGTAGCAAGTGTAGGACGATACTTACCCTTCTTTATCTGAGCAGGCAAACGTATGAGATATATACATTGTCCGATTATTCTTCCAGTCCAGGGCAAATGCGACGGCGGTATCTGAAGTCCTGCCGTTGCCAGCCCAGATACAATCGCTCCAAATGATATTCCCGTCTTCGTACCAACCTTCCCACGATTCGGGCCACTCTGCAACACACTCGAAAAAGGTGCCCATAGTGAGGTTTCCAGGCACTATGCTCACGGCTATCGTTGCGGCACCCTTCTTCCCAGGTTCTGCGCCATCATACCTTGCGGCACCCACATGCCACTGATACTCCGAGGACGCGTTCGTGCCGGTGCCGCATACTCTAGAAGCAACTACTCCGTGAGTAAGCGGCAGCGCCGCTACAAAAGCTAACACACCGTTTCGCATCTTGACTTTTTTTTTTTTCCTGGACTACTCGAAGCGTACTAAGGAATATAGATGGCGATTAAAACTTCTCTGCCGGCATGGTTGCTATGTAATAAAGGGGTGTCTATAGTTCAGTACGGGTGATGTTGTCTGGCTTTTAGTTATACCGGCTTGATTAAATGCCGGGACGTCTAGGCCGTTGCATTGCAATCTGGAAGAGTATGTGGAAGATTAATCCTATTTTGCCGTAGAAGGAGAAAGTCTCCAATCACCCATATATTAAGTACCTCTTATCTTGAACAGATTATAACATTGGGTGAAGATTCGAAAGTAAGCGAGTGTGCAGAAGTGGCGTACTTTATTATTATCTTTAATTCCAAAGATCATACAGCATCAGCATGATTTGAAATACCCCTTTATATCATCTTGAAGTTTCACTATCAGAAATCAAATATGTCCTGATACATGCCATCGATCGAAAACAGGGCTCTGCCAAGAGTAATGAGTGAGTGATAAGGGTTTGTTATGTGAGATACTCCCGGGTAAATTCGTTAGGATTGGCAATTTTCCTTAGCTCAATATACCTCGATATTGTTTTGGTTAGAAAACCAAGTCTGAGAATCGGTATCTCGGCATTGATTTGGAAAGAGGGTAAGTCTCTCGTATATAGGAATTAGGGTCCAGAATATATGCGCCTGCAATAGTCTGGCTTCGCTCCGTCTGAGGCTTTCCCATCGCCGCAACCCCTTTTTGTAGACTGGTTAGATAGTTCTGCCCAAGATGCAGTGGAAGACTTTAGCCCTGGCGCTTCTCGCGGGGGATGTTGCCGCCCAGCAGATGATACGCTTTGGTTGCTCCCAGCTTGTTATTGAGCGTCTAGACCCTCTCGTCAACCCCGGTACGTTGCCGTCGCCGCACGTCCATCAGATCGTGGGTGGGAACTCGTTCAACTCGAGCATGGACCCAGCAGTGCACGATCTCGTCAGAGACTCTACCTGTACTAGCTGTACGTTCTCCGAAGATTTCTCTAATTACTGGACGGCGGTTCTATACTTCAGGGCCCGCAATGGGACATATATGCGCGTACCACAATTTGCGAATGTAGGGCTCCGACAAGATGGCGGAATCACAGTTTACTATATCCCGCCTTACGATGGAAAGACGAAGGTGACGGCTTTCAAGCCGGGTTTCCGTATGCTCGTTGGAGACGCCGCGCTTCGCAAGGCCGATAGTATGCAGCGCCAGCTATGTCACCGCTGTTATACAACCGCGGATGGCGCCGGCCCCGCTGGAGACACGGGTGGCGCGCCGTGTACCGGTTCAGATACACAGAGTTTACCCCCTAAGCCCTGCGCTGGCGGTATTCGCACGACGATTACATTCCCTACCTGCTGGGACGGAAAGAATCTAGACAGCCCAGATCACAAGAGTCACGTTGCCTATCCCAGCGAGGGTTCCTTCGAATCGGTAGGCAACTGTCCGGAGAGTCACCCCGTCAGGCTACCGCAGTTGATGTACGAAGTTATGTGGGATGTAAGTACCAACTTCGCCATCTTGATATATCGGGTGACAGGCTGCGTTGAAGGACTATTGCTAATTCGTATATTTCATAGACAACACCTTTCAACGACCCGGAGCTATGGCCCGAGGATGGCTCGCAGCCATTCTTCTGGAGCACAAATGATGAGTGAGTCTTCCAAGAAATATTAGAACTTTGTCATGTACTAAATTGGCACGTACAGAACTGGATATTCGCAGCACGGCGATTACGTCTTCGGCTGGAAAGGCGATACCCTCCAACGTGCTCTTGATGCTCGATGCAACAACGCTGTCTGCAGTGAGCTCAAGGTTCAGACGTCGGAAGAGGCCCTAAAGTGCACCAAGGCTCAAACAGCAGTGGAGGATGTTGATGGATGTGAGTCATATTTACTACAGATGTGCGAACATAGCTAACATATTGCTAGGGCTGGAAAGTATCCCGGGTAGTTAGAGTAGCTTGTCTGGTTGTACCATGATCTCCCTCTACATTATTGTTTTAAGACGTCTTATTATATTGTACATGGAGTCTAATCCAGTCGCGATACTACTTACATCCAGTATCTTTATATAGAAGCATACTCAAATACGAATCGTATCCCCAATCAAATAAAGCGACGTGAATCTTCCTATTTTAGGTAGGTGGTCAAGCTGTGAGGAATTCCAGTGTTTGCCTATTACTATTAGTGCATGCTTCATGTATCTCAGGGGCTGTAGGTGAATAGGGGTATGGATGGTATAAGTCGCATGACGAGAAGCATTTAAAGTAGTCGGAACTAAGAGTCCACCAACTATTTAAAGTACCACATCATTGTATTAGTAAATTACCGGCAACGCTCGACAATTCCCAAGAGGTACTTGGTCCTGTAGATCCTGTAGCCATGCTGACCGCCTCAAGACTTGAATTAACTTTAATATGAACCAGATATTTGTACACTTTGGTCTTGTTCGTCCTATCGCCTAAACTGTCACGTCGCTATATACCTCTTGATATGGCTATGTTGATGTCAGCCATGTGGCATCATCTGGGGGGTTATGGTAGGGGCAATGTGCCCACTAGTCCCATCAAACCAGGAACTGCTGGAGACCAAGATTAGGTAGTCAGATATAACCACCAGCTGGACGAATGGTCGAAGAGTATCTATCCATGGTCTAAATTGTAGTGAATATCTCAGTCGCACAAGAATACCAACTTAGGTAAAACTATATTCGTCACGTAGTATACTATGCTACTCCACGTCAGGGCCATGTCAAGGTAGGCGAACATGCTTATATTGTTCGCCTCTGATTCCTATATTTAGGGTTGATTCTGCTCTGGCACACTTCAGCACTGTTCATATAAATGGTTAGTATAAATCATTTACCTCCATGTTAGAATCGAATCTCTCGTTTCTACCTGCTCTAGCTGGCTGATTGCGATTAGATATCATATCGTCATATATAATATCGTCATAAAAATGATTGCAAATTGGTCTATCCTCCAGGTATTGCTGGCCTCGACTTGCCTATTGTCAACCGGGTTGGGAGAAGCCCAAGTCAACAGAATCGCATGGCTGGATAACGTCAAGACACACGATCCGACCTCTTCAAAACCAGTGGCCGCCCATGTTGCCTCGCATGAAGCCGAACATATTGTTCTCGTCGAAGATAGGTAGGTTATACTCCTTCTAATATCGTCGTCGCTAGACCCAACTATTAACATGCAATTCAGCGCCGAATCACAGGTTAACGTTTGGGTCTTGTCCGGGGTAGAAAAGAGAGAACCAAGGAGGAAGTCTAATAATAATCACTCCGGCAATGACACGCGAACTGACGATTCGGGTGTTGGGAAAATTGATATCTCTGTACCGCTATCCATCGGTGCGAGTCTTATGATTATAGTAGATGTATTCTTTTAACTTTTAATACTAGAGTATACTTCTTTAATAAAGCCCTGATGCGCTCGACACGCTTGTGTTAAGCCCTAAAACTAGGTACATTACCTAACAGCCTTACAGGGAGTTACAGGGATATATCCTACAGGGGGTATATGCTACTGACGTAACTAACATTATGTAATGCGCCAGGGGTTGAGAGTGGACACCCAATTACATAAATCTCGAGACGATAAAAAAAAAGGCGACTGGCCCTTCACTTACATCACCAAATCACTAACCTCACTTACATATAACTGGAAGCTTACGATAACTTACATACCTCCTATGGATGAATGCTAGGAGTCCGCATTATAAGATTTCTCATTTAGAACGACCTTAGAACTGTCTGCCCTATTAACATTCCACACATCTCACATGTTTAATTTCCGTGGTAATGCGCGGTACACCTTCAATCCCCGCTCTATCTTCTATCGACCGCCCACTACCGCCCTAGCGAGGCGCACGCTCGCCTCAAAATCTCTCGACAGGTCAGCAGTAATACCATCAGGCCCTCTCGCTGAGGAGCTCGCTGCTACGGAGCTATGGATACCAAAGAGCCTGCGAGGGAAACATGACAAGGCCTCGCGATCCCAGCCAAATGGTGACAAGACCAGGGTTAACATCGTCAGCGAAAAGTTATGCGACAATATCATCTCATACGTCGGAAAGTCCCTTAAGCGACATAGAGGATGCGACCTTATCGATATATACCCCGGCGCCGGGCTTTGGAGCCGAAAGCTACACGAGTTTCTCGAGCCGCGCTCTCACATCCTGATGGAACCCGATGAAGAATTATACAAACCCTTTCTCAAACCTCTCCTCGACCGGCCCAACACTACGCTCGTTCCGGCGTCCGGGCTCGTCTGGCGGGAGCTCAACTCTATCCTAACCCCAGAATACCTACCGCACCAAACCATACCTGACGCGGCTAAGTTGAGTCGACGCAACGATACTCTGCTAGTCACTGCAAATATTGCTTTCCACCCTCAGAGACGCTTTCTCTCCTTCGCGTCCATGGCGCATTTGGTTCTCTACCAGTTTATCGAAGCTATCCGAACTAGCGGCCTATTTCAACGCTACGGGCTCGTCCGCATGCTAATATGGACTCGGCACGACGACAAGTACGGAATGCTCCCTAAGGTGATGCAGAAGCGGAAGAAGCTGGCGTTAGATACCGAGCTCTGCTGCGAATGGGTGCACGAGGTGTGCGGTCGCGAAGGTCCCGATAATTCTTGGTACGTCCGCGATAGCATCATAGACGAGAGTAGTAACTTTGCCACCTGGAAGAGGATGCAAGCTGCCAAGATTCAGATACCTGAGGGGAGGTCTTCCGAAGGTCTGAAGGAGGCTCGACTAAATGCGAGGTCAAAGAAAAATATCGCACCCGGAAAAAAGCCCCCCGTATTTAAGAGACCATACAAGGATGTATTGGATAAGCTCGAGACAGCACATATGGAAGAAATATTTACTCGAAACTCGGATAATTACAAGAGCATGCGGAGCTATCAGTGGAGGGCCAACTGGGAGGAAAGAAAGCACCAGCGCATGTTTGAACTAATAAAGAGCTACGATGCTATCAATACTCTCTACAAGTCGGGCAAGGCGGCGCCCGGGGAAATCGAAGCCCTTGAAAGGGAATTACAGGCCAACCTGGAGGACAATCCCAAGGGGTTTATTAGTGAATTCGTCACCTACAAGGACAATCTCCACTATTATAGGCAAGACCCGCCCCTGCTCCATTGGGATCGCAGACCATACGAACCGATGGTTATAGAGCCCGAAGAATTCTTCCCGAATATTGAATGCAGCTTGCTAGATATCCAACCGAAAAGGGTCCATCCGTTACTCCGCCAGACCGGCCCAGCTTCGAATAGGGCGGGTGATAACTTCGAACTAATTTTAAGCTCGCTGTTGAGCCACGGCACCATTCCCATCAGCCAAGCTTTGGATGCCCTCATGCCAGGGGCCGCCGATTACATCATACCCCGTTGGAGGAGCGCTAGAGACTTGAAACACGGCGGAGTGGCTACTAAGATAAAAGCTACAGAGCTGACACCGAGGTTACTGAATGCGCGGCAGTGGGAAGAACTTATAGAGCTCTGGATGGAGTGGCCTTTCCGCCCCGAGTTTCACGAACTCATCGCTCGCACCCACGACGAGTTAGCCATAGAAGATAACCTTATGAGTTCCGACTGATTCCAACGAGAGATGACGTTTCACAATCTAGGCTCCCTGCGGTAAGTGATGGAATTATCGTACGGCGAGACCAAATAATGTATGATTGTAAGAATCTAGAGGCGTTAATACGTGTTGACAAGATGGGTTACGGCCAACTTCTCTGCGCCGCCTGGCCATATTATATTTTACTATGATTCGAAGACCCGCAATACGTGCGCAATCATAATTGGTGTCTGGGGGCTTCTAGGCTGACCTTGGGTTGACAAGCTTGCTGGTTCTATATACATATTTGCATACCTGGTAAGGTATTCGTATTCTGAGCGAGATCATGACATTATGGCGAGATGACGGAGCAGAAGAGAACGTGACCCTCATAATATGCGTTTATCTATTTCGTATGGGCTTTACAGCTCTATACAATTGGGATTGTAATAATGCGAGCTCAATTATTGATACTAGATGCGTAAGGTAGCCACTGAAAGCGTAGTGCGTTTTCATATGACAATCCGAAGTAATGTCACGGACAGGTGCCGTTCAAACATAGGTACCTATTTATCTTGTCCGACATCTCGCTCATTGCAAACGAGCGGTGTTATATTCCAAGTCCTAAAGCTTTAATTTTACCAAGTAACAGCCAAGCCGTTTCCGTGCCGTTCTAGTTTCATAAATGCCGTTGTCGAAAGGACGCGACGGGATGTTTGGCGAGGTGCTGCTATAGGGTTCATAAACCACCTGAGATATAATTCCAGAGCCCTTCTTTTCAACGCGAAAAAATAATACAGAGTCGCCCCTTTTCTTACTTTTACGAACTAGCACCCTAGAGCTACCCGAAGCAAAATAAGCCCACTCAACAAGCTGACGATGTCGGCTTGGCTTTGTATAACCCTAGTCTAAGTCGTTGCGATACGATATCTCATCGTAAAATGGGTTAATAAGAGGTCCTGTTTGCCTTAGCAGGCTAGATGGTGTCGGCGAGGTTACTATTTATCTAGTTTCTTTCTTAACGTTGTTTATAGCATTTTGCTCATAAGTAGTTAAAGTCGGCACTTCTATCACACAGACATAATTACGAGCTTTGCAACGTATACCACATTCATCTTACACCTAACTTAACACCAATTAGATAAATACGCTCAATGCAGGTTTATATATGTAGTATATATATGCGAGCGGAATGTTACCTTTACCCCAAGCTGCTAAGAATACTTCACAATTAACTAGGTACATTAAAAGCAGACTCTTATTAGGTAATTTATCGGTACGACACCGCCAATGACAAGATATAATTCGGACTTGGTTAATTTATAATACCCCAGGGAACGTCGCGTTTTTATATATAGAATTATACCCAGGTAAATCGAAACTCTATCTTGATGAATAACGAGCCGTTCTATCGAGTTTCTGGAACATTGATGCTGTCTGTTACTTGGAAGATTAGAATTGGGGTGCATCTGAAATTGAGGTTAGCGCGGGGTTAGCTCGGCGCTAGTTCTATCGAAGAACGTTAAGCTTGGGAGGCACATAAGGTACATGTATGTACTTAACCTTATGTAACCTTTTGTCTGGGGTAGTATGTACATGTACTTCAGGTCTATTATATCTCTCCTCCTCCTATATGTCTGTGAACATGAAGACGAAAGGAGATCGAGCTCCGTGAGAAGTGATCTCCAATGATCGGCTCGGTCCCGTGATAATAAGGTGTTGCAGGCAAGTTGGATTAACGGAAATATGGGGACTTAGGAATGTTGCACGTTTTTTACTAGTAATATGGTGTTGGCCCCTGTTTATGTTTGCTATTAGGTGAGCGCGCGGAGCTGTGCCGCTTTCAGCTATTATGGTAGAGATTAGAAGAACCACATATGCGTGCGATGCGCCAAGGGGGCTTCTGAGATAAGATGAAGAATAATTATAAGTTTGCGCCGTTACAGATTGATATATATCTGTATATGTGTTTATATGAAAATATATATAGGTTAAGTACTTGACTTATGTTATATCCAATGTATAAGGACACGTAGGTACTTAACCTATTATTATCTTCCCGGGATTATTATAATATATACGTATTTGTGACGCTACAGATTTCGGTCACCCGCCCGGCATATCTGTAAAGACATCATTTATCTGTAAGGCCCGGGGAGCTGGTATTCAATTTTACTGCGTTCCTTAGCCCCACGGTCCGTAACATGTACAGTACGGTAAGACCCGTATTGTGCGACATACACACTATGTACAGTACATATCTAACTGTAGGTATCGTACTTTGTACCAATGTGGGTGAGCTTACATGCAGTATCGAACGTACTAACCCACCTTTGCCTAGAAGCGTCTTCGCTCGCGAGTTTATCAAATTTCCCCCAATAAGCCAGCTCATCTGAACCCATGGACAAAGTCTTTTTTATTATTTTACTTTTTCACAAACTTAACAAACTTAGCAAACTTTACGAAACTTTGTTCCAACTGTTTCACCGTCCAATGTTCAACGACAAGCCAAAGCGCAATTTGTACCTGTCAATGAGATACATGTAGTCAAGTTACATGGTTAGTAAAACCTGTCACCCAGATCTACCCACTGAATTACACCACTCCGCCTCAATAATTGTATCATATTGTCTCCTCATAATATTTTCCCTCGAGTCCTGCTATCTCTCCTACATATTCAAGGATTGAATCCGTCTACTCCTAGTTTATTCTCGTCTGTCTTTTACGTCTACTATCTTTTTTTTTTCTTGGCCTTTCCTTGTAAACATTTCACATCCAATCGTTTGTTGCCAAAACAAAGTTTTGATATCGTTCTACCGATTCTTCCTTCTATCGTTGCCGACACATTTGACTTTTAAGCCAGACCGGGAGCCTCCCCATTTTACTCTACTCGAACCGTGCCACCATATTCGAGCGCGCTACGAAACGTTTCATCTCATCTTCGAAGCAGTGTCGACGTACCGGCGCCGTCTTTAGGGCGGCCGACGTCTCTCCCTTGCCATGCGCTCGCCTGCTTTTCCCCCGAGGAGGCCCTCTCACCTCGTCCGATATATTTTCCCGGCCGTGCTCCTGCTCGGTATCTTCTACTACCTCTCTAATAAGCCCCAAGAGTCTCAAACATCTAATACCTATTTAACTTCCGATCGCGACTCCTTTAAATCCTCATCATCATCTTCCCCCGCTTACAACCATGGGACACCTGACGTTGTTGATCAACCCGCCAAGAATCCGTCTACCGATCAGAAACCTGTCCACGGAGATCTAGACGACGGAAATCAAGACGACGAAGACAAGCCAGTACACGAATCGAAACCTGTCCAACCCGTCCAACCTGTCCAACCCGCCCCGCCGAAACCCCCTACGGACCACCCTATCGACCAGCTAATCAAGGTTGCTGATAAAGATTTCGAAGACCTGCTAGCTAAGGAGTCGAACACGCTGGCCGAAGCTGCCCAAGCTTATCGTAAACGTCGCGGGCGGCATCCGCCTCCAGGTTTCGATAAGTGGTACGAGTTCGCGAAGGAGAATGATGCAGTCATAGTCGAAGATTTCTTTGATCAGATTTATCACGACCTAAATCCATTTTGGGGGCTAGAACCTTCCAGCATTCGCGATGAGGCGGCGGGCTACGAGATGGTTATTAGCATACGCAACGGCAATGCGAGTGCCGAGAGCGATTGGTTTTGGACTCAGATCTGGTTAGATATGATTCAGACTATCGAGCACTTGCTACCTGATATGGATATCGCTCTAAACGCAATGGACGAGCCGCGACTTGTAGTACCGTGGGAGGATATCAATGCCTACATGAAGAAGGAAAAGCAGAGCCGAATTTTGAATCCCGCTAAAAGCATCGTCAACGAGTTCCAGAAGTTGCCACCCCCAGTTAAACACGAGGACAAGTCCATTCATACTGTCGATAAGGACTGGGAAGACACAAGTAGGACCAACCATTCATTGTCACCCCAGGGTAGACATGGTGAATATTCCGAATGTATATGCTAACAGTTTGTAGACCCGTACTGGTTAATCGCTCGCCGAGGTTGTCCTCCCGACAGCCCTGCCCGCAAACAGCCCGCCCTTAGTTCGTTCGACGGTAAACCCAGCTTCTCCCCGGAGTGGGCAACACCCCATCAATACCAAGGATATGTGGCCAACTCGACGCTCTCGTCCGAATTTTGCCATCAGCCCGATCTACAAGGACTTGAAGGTATCTTCATACGGCCCTTAACAACGTCTGCGACCAAGGTTCTCTTCCCGATGTTTGGAGGAAGCAAGCTGGCCACTAACAACGAGATCCTTCTTCCGGCTCCCATGTATTGGAACGAGGAAGAAAGGTTTACCGGAGGAGATGACCATGGGCCGTCGTGGGATAGCAAGATCGGCCCTCTCATCTGGCGCGGCGTGGCTACCGGGGGCCGCAACACTGAATCGAACTGGAAGGGCTTTCAGCGGCATCGATTCGTCTCGATGAACAACGGAACCAAACTCCAGCGCGCCGAGGAGGATATCGAGGCGCCAATCAATTTTGAACTGCCTAGCACGACCTACAATCTAGCGGCGCAAAAGGAGAGGCGGCTGGGTGCGTGGGTATCGCAGTGGTCTGATGTTGGCTTCACCGACCTGTTCTGCGATCCTGACATAGAACCCGAGCAGAAAGACGGGCACTGTATATATACTGACGAGCACTACGAAACGGTACTCGGCCAGAAGCTAGCGATTCAGTTTTACTACAAGTATCTTCCCGACATTGATGGCAACTCATTCTCGGGGCGTTACCTAGGCTTCCTACGAAGTACGAGTTTGCCCATAAAGAGCACGCTCTGGCGCGAGTGGCACGACAGCCGCCTAGTGGCCTGGAAGCACTTCGTGCCGATGGATAACCGATTCAGCGATTACTATGGTATCATGGAATATTTCCTCGGCTACAACGACGGCGTTCCTGGACACGACGAAGTAGCCGAGAAGATCGCGACGGACGGAAAGGCCTGGGCCGAAAAGGTGCTCAGGAAAGAAGATATGCAGATCTACGTGCTGCGGTTGCTGTTGGAGTACGCGCGAATCGCGGACGACCGAAGAGAAATCATGGGCTGGGTTGACGATTTGCGGTCGTGAAGGGGAGATACGAAGGACGAAAGTAACTAATCATGACACATACCCTTTAGATGACGAGCTTTAGTGTATAACATCGTCGATATACCAATACGAGGACGGCGTTAGGGTGGGTTAAGGCATTGAAATGTTGGCATGCCAGCATGGAGCAGATGAGCTCGAGCATATGGCCAATTGGTCTGGGTAACTGGCGTTGGATGGTGTATATAAAGATGAACATGGAAGTCTCTAGGTGGCTACCTGCGGTAGCGAAATTAGGAAAGTACTACAATATTTTATTTTATCTTCGATTACTCGGTCCATAGCTTGGATGATTGAGAGTATTTTTGTTTTGCATTCACGTAGACTTAGTATAACATTGGAGAGCTTGATATGATGGGCTCCGTTTACCCCTGGACAATGGCAACGGGATCTCCCGCTTGGAACGACTATAATAATCTTAGACTAATGCATGCACTTGGAACGATGGCATCTTAGCGGTGCTAAAACTTGTATATTCACTTTTATAGTCAGGGGTCTTCTTGTTATATGATATATTTACTTCGTATAGTTGGGATATAGGTGCATGTGAATATACCTAGGTAGTTATGTTATAAGTATGACGTAGCGGCAATGTTCTACAACTTTACGACAATTACATAAAATACCTACCAATTTTGGTAATCAGGACTTTGTGCAAGTTTAGAGCAACATAGCAATGGTAAGACAAATGATGTCTCTCCGATGATCCTTCTATGCCATTTTATCCGATCAAACCGAGACAATGCAAAACAAGAAAAAAAAATTTGGTAGCCCTTTCGGGGAAAATATATAGATCGAGATCGGCATGTTCCTTGAATTACGTACCTTGGCGTCTGGTGGACGTCATCACACATGTCAGACATACCGGACGCGGTGAGCTTTGTAAAAGAGTCGAAGCTACGGCGGTATAAAGCTGAGGATATCTTCTCGAGTATTCAATATTTGTCTCTCATATCTACTCAATACAACTACAAATATTTATTCTAAAGATTCTTAAATATCTATATTACTTACACCAAGTACTCAGCTTTTATCACATATTCAACAACAATGGATGCCCTCAAGAACTTCGCCAGCGGTAACTCGCAAAACACCGGCAACACCAATGCCCAACAGACTGGCGAGAAGAAGGATTTCGGAGATAAAAGTATGTTGTCCCATTTGCGCGCAAGTTATCTCTTTAAGTTAGATAGACGTCTAACATATTATTTTCCTAGTCGCCGGATTCATGAACAAGAAGCAGGGAGGTAAACTCTCCGACTCGCAACTGGAGAGCGGCACAGATAAGGCTCGCAATCTGTACGAGAAGGCGACTGGGTGCGTTAAGGCCATTCAACCCCCCAAATTTCTTCCCGGGAAACTAACATTTGTTGGCACGTAGAAACAAAATCAACTCTAAGATTTCCAACTAGGTGCGAACATTGCGCTGTCGAATTATGAGGGAGGATATGCACTTTGGATATAACAATTAATCAATCCTTCACATGGAAAAGCTACCAACAAATAGCTACAGAGGGTTATAACTGACATCTGAATTGTCCAGTAATTCGTCGCTCCTTAATCGAAGAAAGGGTATAGAGCAATGGGCTATTAGTTAACCTATCCAGGAAAGATGGGCATATCTCTCATATCTCTCATATTTAAATAAAATAAAAAGTTCAAACTCAACATCTGTACGCCGAGACGCCGGAAACTTTCGTCGTATAGCCAATCATCTTGCTCTAATAAATAATCAGACTCTACCCGTAAGTAGAGTTAGTCCATGAGACATAACACATAAACCCGTACGTTGAACCGTACATCTCGTAAAAAATTAAGCGTCATCGTAAAACACTTGTATTGCCATCACGATAATCCATAGTAAAAATATGCATCCGATCAGAGCGAAAGCAAAAACTGCTTGCCACGATTGGCCTTCCGACGAAGTGTTAGCAAATAACCAAGCAAAAATGGGTAGACATGCCGTAAATGAATGTTAGAAGGGATCAAACACGGGAATTGCTCACATATAGATCTTTGCTCTAGCCACGCCAATGTTCCTTGGTTATTTCCCGTCGGCGACGTGCTCCATACCAAAAGGTTACAATTCGAGCTGACGGAACCGACGGGGCCCCACAATTCAATACTGACGACGATGAGCCCTACCATCCAGAGCACGAAGAACATGAAGGAGCCGAGTATGACTATGGAAGGGAGGAGCCGTCGTTGGGCTATGAGCCATAGCAGCGTAGCGATGTAGACGATTGTTAATGCTGAGACGGTGATAAAATAAGGAAAGTACCTGCGTGAGAACAGACTTGGGTTAGAAAACAATACACCCCATTGCAATTAAGAGGGCGAGTAGTATAAGATCTGCTCACCAGGGAACATAGAGTTCCAGCTGTTGTTGGACGCCGATAAAGGTAGCGAAGATGCCAATGATGCAGCACGACGCGGCCAGCATTATGAGCATCCACACGTTAAGTTGGATGGCGGGCCAGTGGTATCTATGAATACGGGCTATCCGGCGCTCGTAGACGACCGAGTCGGAGCCGGTTACTATTGATGCGGCCATTATAGATTTGGGGTTGCGTTTGCTTGCGTTTGCGCGTTTGACTCTAAGGAATACAAGTAATGCGAGGCTGGAGCTCTATCGAAGTCGAGTTCGTCTCCTCCCACGTCGAAGGCTTGTAATGCGGAGGTTAGTAATTCGCTCGTCCTAGTTTTTCTAAGGTAAAGTCGAATTGACGCTCTTCTCTAAGAGGACTCGAGATATTCGACCTAATAATAATAATATCCAACCGCGTTTTCGTCCTTCCCGGTCCCGTCCCGTCCCGCGTTTGTGTCTTCGATCGTTACAAGGAATAATATTTATTTATATCTCCTTAAGACGTCGTTTTTCCAAACAGGAATTGTGTTCGCGACGGCGGTTCTGACGGCAACAGCTCTAAGAGTCGAGGGACGTCGTCATATGGTTTAATTGCGATTGTAATTGTAATTGTATTAATTTCCCGAATCGCCTAACTCGCAGAAGCCTGACGAAGTAGAGCCACGGCGAACTGCCAGCTCAGAGCTGCTTCGCACGCGGTCGATCGATGTGCTAGAGGGCTGATTGGGTCGCCTTTTCTGAGCAAATGCAGGTGCCGGAGCCCCGCGAGACTGGGCGCATCCGCTTTCGATCGTGCGCTGTCAGACAGTCAGACAGGCTCGCGCAGAAAAGAACTACGTGGTACGGCCTCGAGTCGTTGTCGTCGTGTGAGGGATAGACTGTTGAATTGGGGCTAGGTACAGCTACACGGGCTAATATGAAATATTCGTAATAGTCAACAAGGCGCTGGGCGCTTTTTCTTTTTTTCTTCGGCAGCGCACCGAGACACCGAGCGGGATGAGCGGGACCTGTTGGCGTATCGTAGTGCAGGTACCTTAGTTTAGGTACTGATACCTATTTGGTTGAGAGGTATGTACTATTGAGACCAGGATAAAAGATCGGCAATGCTAGAGATTTGATATGAATAGTTGATAAATATTATAGTTACAATCATAGAAACATAGAGGTATAGCATGAAATTTGAAAGACTTGTTTGTTCAAGCAAGATTGAGGAGACAACAATTTAGCGCTTATAGATTTGCATTAGAAATAAGTAGGTAAATAACTAAATTCCACCTTACGTGACCCCGATGTGTGCGAGGTAATTACCTGTATGAGGAGCATTGTAACGCTCTTTCTCTTTAGCACCTATCAAATCGCAGAGGGGGAAAAATGTGATAAGAAACTGTGGTGGCTGGTAATTTGTAAGGCGCAAAACCGTGCTGTGATGTTATTCCTATAAAATACAAGATCATCTGCCAAGACCATGCTACCTAGGTACCTTAAAGTTGGGGACAACCCCTGTATATGTACCTATAGATGTACCATATAGATGTACTTCGTACTTATACAGGTATTAAGGCGTTGCCCGACCTCGCATGTTTTATTCTACATGTGATGATTCGATGCCTAACTTCACTTCAGCTACTTAAATCACCCATCGACCAATATACTTTTCAATGTTGGAGTTCATGCTTCATTTCGTCGTCTTTGCTAAGGCATGTTTCCCATTTCCTCTATGAGTAGACGCCGTCTAGTCTAGCTTAACCAATCCCCAGAACATGTGTTAACATATGTATCCCGTATATATACTAAACCGCCGCCGTGATGATCCCAGTATCATACCTAATGGACCGACATACTCATTTCTGCTGTGGTGTGAACAGACTCTAATCGCATTCGTGATTTTAATCAATTTATAGCAAAGATTCACCCAGAGCGCATCGTACCAGCGAACATCCTGCACGAACCGTTTCGTGAGCTCCCAGCTCGACTTCCGGTGCCAAACTCGGATTAACTTCAACGAGATCTACGGCGACGAGGCTTCCTGTTAGATGAACGCTCTCGCAGATGTAGTCTCCTTCGCGCAGCGTTAATCCTCCCCTGACTGGCGTTCCCGTGCTAGGTGCCCACATCGGATCGAGCGCGTCGACGTCGAAGGATAAGTGGATTGGCGTGTCTGCACCGATATGCGCAAGCGCCATCTCCACGACGCGACCGATACCATATCTATACCAAGGCGCAGCCGCATGTTAGCACGTTTCTATACAACATATAACTACGAAGGGGGAGGTCTATACCGATCTATATCAAACATGCTGAATGCCTTGATGCCGTTCTCGCGAAGGATCCGCTTCTCGCCCGGATCTACGTCTCGCAGTCCGATATATACGAGCTTCTTCACGCTGATGAGATGCTCAGGCTTTAGCCAGCCAAAGTACTCGGGTTTTTCTTCCTTGGCGAGGCCGGTGATGAAGCTCACGGGCATCCCGTGGACATTACCGGAATCGCTCGTCTCGGGTGTGTTAATGTCGGCATGTGCGTCTACCCAGATAACCGCGATCTCGCGGCCGAGCCGTTCCCGCGTGGCCTTAGCTGAACCGGCGATGGTGCCGATTGCGATAGAATGGTCGCCACCTAAGGTCAAAACCATCCTTCCTTCTTTGGCGTGTTCGTAGACTTGATCGCAGAGACGCTCAGTGACGCTGCTTACAGCCTTGGGGTTCTTCATATTCCGGAAAGGAGGGTCTTCTTTCGGGACAAGATCGGTGTACGAGTGTACAGTGTCGTGACCGTGTAGCTTATAGTTGAGCTCGTCTCGAAGCTGGCTAAGTAGTCCAGACTCGATCAGAGCCGAAGGAGCGGCGTCAACTCCAGGTTTACACTGCAAGTGAATAATAGCCATCTCGTAAGCTGCTGCGATATTCCGAGGGGATAGTTATAGCAATTGCGGTTCATCATACCTGTCCACCCGAGAAACCGACGGCTACGACGCCGAGGTCCTCAGGGTGGGAAAGAAACTTGGACTTGACCATGGAGGTGTTCATTGTTGGTAGCCTTGTTTCCTATATGGGTTTGAAGAAGGGAGCAGTGCTGGTGATATACAATCGAGTCGGGAGATGGTTATTATAACTAGTCCGCCGGTCTACAAATCTAAATTGTCTGTCTAATGGTAGCAATTGGAGAGTATGTTAGAGTGTACGTGTTAAAAGTGTAAGAGTCTTTATAAATACAAGAATCTCAAGCGAGGAATTGTTGGAAGCTTGAAAATTCGGTCCTACCCTCCCGATATCTCATAAATTTTCTGGCACATGACAGCGGTACTACTTGTTTCTTCCCACTACGCCTTCGTGTCCCTCTTCAGTGCATATACGTTCTAAGCTTTTAAAGGCTAAGTGTACCGAGCGGTGGGGGTTAAGATGGAAAGTACCGGCAACTACCTTGATAGGTATCGCATATTGGTGGCCTATGTACGGATTACAGGTAAGAACTGCGCCTATATGCACTGTAATCTAATCAATCCGGGTAGCCACATGGAGATATGCTCCTAGACCTACCTAAATAAGCCACTACAACGCCCTAAAACCTTAGGTGCATTATCCCATGTTTAGTACCGAGAATGCAGTACGTAAAATGGTAGAAATAATCCCCTACAATGGTAAAGATTCCAACCACCACCGGCATCGGCGTACAAGAAGAATACCAAATTCTATTAGGTCAATACTACCGTTTTCCCCTGTATTTTCCTCTATTAGAAGACCTCTTACGTACATAGATCCCCACGATGATCTTGCATTCTGCCTTGGCTGCTTGGTCGAGCAAAGCCGTTTCAACCCGGCGCTTTCCTTTTAACGGCTACAGCTTAGCCGACGTACCGTCAGCGATTCTCAACTCATGACACACATTTCCTCTCTCCCATGACCTCTTTCTTTAGTTTCTGTTATATTACTGCAATCCGATATCATCTTAAGTAATAGCGTCGACAAACCCTCAATCAACGTACCGTTTCCCTGTGTAAAAGATAGATCTAGATATTTCCCCGACAATCTAGATCCGGAAGCCCAGTAGTAGATACGATTACCGCCCACCTCATGTGGACGGTCCAATTTATTTCAGCCGTTCAATCGACACCACCTTATCGATGCCGTTCAATAAGTTGTTCTAGATAAGCCAATTCTGCTTCGGGGTGCGGGAAGGGGAAGGTCCTTAGGAAAGCTACTGTATCTTTATTTCCGTTGTCTCTCCAAAACGCAACCCACGCCTTGATTCTAAGCCTTGTTATACAGAAGTGAATTCTGAGGGGCATAAACCAACAGAGTCATTTTATCTACAGTATTAGGCGAATAGCCACAACACCGCCCTGCGTATTCTACTGGTGTATATGATTGCTCTAATACTTGGAATTAAAATTGAATATTTAATTAGTGGTGAGCTTGAAGAGGGTTTACCCGGGTTAAACTTAGACGTATGATGCTTAATATGCTCATTTTTACCCGCATAGACTTATACTTGACGTGTCAACAGCATACTCACAATGCCGTTTGGACACCGATCCAGTCTGCTATAGAACTTTACTTAGTCAATTCCTAAAGATTAGCTTTCAGATGGTAGGGTTATCTTTATATTAGTACAACTGCGCGAAAGTGTACTGGTTATATTTGAATTGCGTCTTTTCGATCAAAGGTAACAAAACAACACATGGCCAATGCTGAATTTAAGACACCAAATATTGTGTTAACGTCGATGAACTTATGACATTATACTCATAGTCGTAGGGTTTACCATTTTCGAAGTCTTGGCTATAGAGGTTACATCTATAGTAGCTAGAGAACTCTCTCACCAAGCAATATTTACCTAAGTATGATAGAGTATTTTATGAAGAACCGTAGAGACCTCTTGAAGAAATATAACTATTGTTGAAGGCACCCGAGTACGTTGACGCTATAATTGGCCCTTCGGAGTTCTGCCGTTGTCCTAATGCCTTTACACAATTTAGGTCTTATATATATCTCGTTATTGCCTAGCTAGATTATTTCGGCGTCAAGGCAGGGTTCTAAATAGATACCTATTAGGCCTGTCAAGAGTACCTTGACTGGGAATTTGTTTACTTGTAGGCGACTAAGATAGTTTGCTCTAGCCAGGATCTGCAGTTATTAGAATCAAGCTGACCTGAGACTGTCTGACGCCTGACGGTCTAAATTATTTAGCTCGCATTTCTTATCATTCCAATCAACAATGCTGAGAATCGGGTAAAGAACAATTCGGAGACGCAGCATCTAATTAATATTTGTGCTCTATCCGAGAAACGCTCTTACAAACGACGAATAAAGTATGGCATGGCATAGCAAGACAGGAACATCAAAGACTTCACAAATTCGGGGTGCATAATCTCCAGGTACCTAAGGTACATATATCCTAGCAGGTGCGCGGGAAGCAAGGATAAACACCTCAAACCTGAAACGATGCTACGTAGGTGGGGTAGATAGAGGTACCTAGATACCTAAGTACCTGCGCTTACCTCTGCGGGGGATCTATCAATTAGGTACCTAATTGGACATACAGGACGACGTCAGCTCCTGCTTGCTTATGTTTGTCTAAGACTGTCTGACTGTACCTTGAATAAGCGTCGTGATAATCATCGAATTCTTCATCAGTTCTTGTCTCTAAAATTTCGGTATCTCGTAGTTAGCAGGTAAGTATACAAAATTCTGGGTCACGAGTGTTTGCTTGTTGGAGGTTAGGTTCGGTTGCCGTATGCGCCGGCATCCGCGCGGTGCCATAGACTGACCCGTCGACTGCGCATCACCACGTCCTCCGTCCTCGCATCTCTAGTGGATATCCGTTCCCATACTAAAACATCATGTAAGTAACAGCTCTTCTAGCGGTTCTACATCCCAATAATTACCCGCAAAATCTAATACGTATCACGGACCTTAGGATCGAGCCATCCGAAAGACTACGACGAGCAGTCCATAGCAACGACGCCTCCCTTGTTCGTCGCATTGTGAAATCTCACCTAGGTCTAATTCATAACCCAGACCATTCCGCAACCGGCCTCTCTAATTCGAGCCTCCACCTTGCCGCCAGCCTTGGCCACCTCCAGGTATGCAAGGTCTTAGTTGCTCTCGGTCACGAGCTTCCTACGCCGGCTTTGAACGATGACCATCAGACGGCCTTGATGCTAGCCGCCGCCGCGGGTCATACGGAAGTCGTCTTGTTTCTTGCCGAGAGCGATCCCACATCCATCCTCCGACGGGATATTCGAGGTAGGGATGCTATCATGGAGGCTAGCATGGGAGGTCATGATACGGTACTACAGATTCTTCTCACGTACGTGCCTGGAGGGGCGCAAAATGCCGTCCAGAATGCGGATCTCGACGGGAATACTGCTCTACATTTCGCCAGCAGCAACGGTAACCTCCTCGTTCTACGGACATTGCTTGCTGCAGGAGCCGACCCCGAGAAGAGAAATGTATGGAGTTGGACCGCCATCGCATACAGCGCAACCGTACAGGCTGAAGTCTACCTCAAAGGACTTGTCTCTGAGGTTGAGAAGCGAAGGCGGATTAAAAATGAGGTAGAGGAAGGGAGAAAGGGAGGCGCCGTCCGAATGGTCGAAGAAGAAATCAACGTGGTAAACTGAAGCTAATATTTGGTACGACTACCTACATATTGACGAAGTATCTACTCGCGCGGCCCGTCGGTACTATTCCTCACGATGTTCCACGATACTTATCTGGGGAACCGAGTTTCCCGCCTCTACAAGCGCTATGGAGCCGCCTTCCTCCACTGTTTATGTACGCATTTTGGGCGAGTTGGCAAACTTCTAATAAGTCCTAAGCTCGTGCTACCACCGGATCTGGTGTTCAAATTAAATTCCGACAAGGTCCGCGAAAATGGTGCTTGTGGCACGAAGATGATATCATTCAAACGACCTTGTCCCTAACGACCAACCCTCGCAGTGGTGTTGCGGTCATATCCCACGTCCATCGCAAGTGACTACTCTGAACACTCACTGTATCACTTGCTGGAAATGCGTCAATACTTGGCACTGGCTTTGGGTGACTAGACAACACGGCCTATCACCGCTACTTACGAAATAGAGATCAGTCTGATTTAGGGTTTGCCGCCTTTTCGTACACCGGTAGTGCCATTGAATGGTTTGCCGCTTTTAGGCTTCCGAATTATAGTGTCAATGTCGGGCGCTACATTGACTTACTCTCTTACAGTACGTGACGACCATTACCTAATCCAAAAGGCAACTATACATCAAATCTCCATGGTGTCTTTCTATCTACGCTATAATCTTGGACGCGGGATTATTCAGACTGGTTTGGTACATGTACTACAATCTTCCATCCCAAGAAGAGCGGCGATCACATGAGATGAGTTGGGTAGGGGGGTGACCGAGCAGATGATGAATCTACCGGACGATTCACTTCCCGCCTCTACCACCGAGTCTGTTCGTGGAATGCCTTTAACCATTGAAGCCCCCCTATTCATCTGGTAATGATGACTATGATCTACCATCTCACGCTTGAGTCTCTTAGTAGCTGGATGTACTGTGATAAAAGCAAACACGACACTATCTCAACAGTTCAGTAGCCGTGACACTGTCCTGGGCGGAAAGCTGCACAGTCTTCACTACAAATTCCTGCTGCTCTCCGCACAGGTTCTTGCTTCCAGCATACTACTTAACTCTCAGGTTCCAAACTATTTAGGCGGACACGTTCTGCTCGTCTTTCAAGCTGGATCCTCTACAGACTCTAGTTGAATTGCCCCACCCGGCTACGAAGCTCATCGTCGGCCAATACTTCTGGATTCATCCATCTCGACGCTCCTGGGCTTGGCTGGTTGTCGGTTCGTTCTACGACTCCGAGGCCCGTGAGCTCTGGCATATCGAGATTTTCATCGGCTACAGGGATAACGCTACCACCGAGTTTGCCGAATCCTTAACATCTGACGCATCTAACGCGACTGGTAGGTTATTACCCCTGTTATGATCTTTCCCTGTATCCGTACTGACTTTTATGACAGAGACCTTTGCAACAGACGAAGGAGACGAATATTTTAGAGATAACATAGAAGCACAACTTAACCTTAATAACTTCCCTAACGAATACAACGGTACTGAATTGCAAGGGGAGGTCCTTGACAACTTCTTTACTCACATTGTCCATTATTCCGGGGACTACACGGATTATACTCCGGCCTTTACACCGATCATGGCCGCCCAGACGTTTGGAAATGGGTGGCATCCGCAGTTCGGCCCGGACCAGACTGCGAACGCAAATGCCAACCCGTCCTTCGGTAACGTCGTCCCTGGCGTCGTCTATACCGGCTCTAGTGGGTATAGCTACCTCCCGAACCAGGGCATCTCTGGTCTACCCGGCGGCGTCGTCCCCGGACCGAATAACCAGGCCCCGGTGTATGTTATACCTCAGAATGGATATAACCACCCGGTCCCTGTGTTTCCTAGCCAGGGACCCCGCCTGCCGAACCCTCATCCCGTTGTCAATCTCGACGCCCCGGCTTTGAACCTGAACAACTCGACTGGTGGTGTCGGTTGCGAGCCTGGATATAACTACTTTTTTCCGCCCGAACACACGAAGCTTCATGTGGTCAAATCGTCGACTGCCCCCTGGCGACTCCCTGAAGGCATGTCGATGAACTTTGGTGCTTACCATGTGCCTGTCAACACGACGTTGGCGGAGCTCCTAGTGGGCTTTGGCGCTCTCAACCCCTGTCCAAAGAAGAACAAGGTCACCGAAGTGATTCAGGGAGGTAACGGAAAGTGGTATAGGGGAGTCACATTTTCTGGTGATAGTGAATCTATGACCAAGACGCTAAGAGATCTAGGCTGGGACCGTTCGCGGACAGGACGGACGGGAGAGAAGCCGGTCATCTGGCTTTGGATTACAAAGGATTAATATCCAGCATTCGTATCCAGATGCTGATTTATAACTAAGACCATCGCGACCGCTTTTATTTTTTTTTCGTTCGGGATTTATATTCACCTCATAGGGGTTACATCGCACAGTCATTTTAAAATGGTTTTAACCAGCGCGCCAATAAGCGGTATATGTTTCTAGTCTAGCCAGGTATTCGGTAGTTGCGCTGCTTATAAAATAGGTAGTCTTATTTCAAAATATCGCACCGTGTCGTTAGCCTTGAACGCCAACTAGCTTTACTACTTCGGGTTGCAAATTGTCTAATTGCACCGTGCCAAATATTTACTTCTGGAATTTATTACCCGCCAATGACCATTTGCTACATAATTATGATTTTCGGCCGTGAAACGGAAATTTGTCATGTAATCTAGAAGAATAGAAAGAAGAATAGAAGAATATTAATAATTAAGACGCTTAATGGGGGAATTAGTAAGCGGTAGCTTAGAAATGGTACTTTTGATACAGTTTCATAGCAGCTTCACGACGACGACGTTTCATTCGGTTGTCGGATCAGGGGCGAGACTGTAGCGACTAATGTTATTGATGTTTATGCATGACGTATGTACTGAAGCCGTAGCTGATATATAGAAGTACTGGTATAAAAGTATAAAGTTATAAATGGCCAGCTAGATCTAGAATAATTTGCAATTCAGCCTAAACACATTCAATACACTTCATCTTGACAGACCAACATATTTCACTACCTACTCTTTCCATCGGGGTAAGATATTTGACGTAGCCTCGAATATCTCTGTCTCATTAATCCTCAGCGATAACTTATAACTTCCTCAGTACTCCATCATGGCATCCCTTTACGAGCTGACCATCCCCGTCCTAACTCGGGTCCTCCGAACCGAGGAGACTCTTCTCAAGAAAGCCGAGGAGTACTCCAAAAGCACCGGCACGCCCGTACAAGAACTAGTCGCTGCTCGCCTGGCCCCGGATATGTTCTCGCTTTCGAAGCAGGTCGGGGTCACGGTGTTGTTTGCGAGGATCGCATCCCACTTGTTGGCAGGCAGGGAATTGGTGCCTACGCAGGTAGACGAATGGTCGCTCGAGGAAAACTATAGCATCATCGCCGACGTGCTCAAGTTGCTGGCGGATATCAAGCCCGAGGATGTCGACGGGAAGGAATCTGAAATCATCTCGTTTAACGTGGGCCCGCGGAAAACTAGCGCAAAGGCTGTAGATTGGTAAGTATAGTATAGTATAGTCTTGCATCTATTGTGTTTTTAGAGACAAATAAAGCTAATCATACTTGCAGTACGTGAACGAAAGAAAATCCTCTTATTATTTCAATGCTTCCGTTCTTGCTTCGATGAGACTCTAAAATTCGGGTTGGCAATGCTAACAACTTCGCAGATGTAACCAAGTTTCTAGTGCCGACGGTCTACTTCCATTTAACCACCCTCTACGATATTCTAAGGCATAAAGGCGTGCCGTTGGTTAAGGCCGACTACTTGGGGCACCAACTTGCAGAATGGGAGTTCTCGTAATGGTAAATACGATATACAGTCGAGACGTATTAGTAGGAGCGTGGGAGAGCGAGATGTGATTAGACTTGGCGTAAATAGCGAAAATGGAATAAAATTTAATAGTCATCTCTCTGACGTCTTGTTACCTGCGTCGGAATGTTTATTGAATACTCCACAGCTTCGTCTCGATTGGAGTATTCATCTTACCATATATAGCTCTGAGACGAAAGCTACACGGGGAGCCCATAGGGTATCGAGATGATTCTGGATAGCCTACCCCATGTATATATCACATCTGGGCGTAGTAGCGATCGTATTAAGGAGTAACCTAAATCGTCTGATGTGTTGCTGAATCAGACCAGGCCAGTTGGATGCACGATAGTCTATAGACAATACCATCCTTAAATTTATAACTATCAAAATTGACGCGCTCAGCCATGAGAATCTACCGGAGACACCAACGCGAAGCCCGGGGGATTGTTGATTCCCCGACGGATAGCTTCATCGATAATAGCAGCAGTAGCTGACGTACCAATTCGAGTAATACCTAACGATATAGCCCCCATTACCTCGTCCAGCGTTCGTATCCCGCCGGCGGCCTTGATCTGTACGTTAGGTCCGATGTTGGCCTTCATCAACCGTAGACGCGGTACGGTAGCACCTTTGGATGTGTACGAGCCGTTGGGCTGTTTTACAAATCCGAAGCCAGTCGACGTCTTTATAAAAGCCACAGTTAGAGCCGTACAGATCTTGCACAGATGCGCAACGTGCTCGTCCTGGAGGAAGTCGTTCTCGAATATGAGCTTGAGAATGGCGCCGTGCTTCACAACGGTATCGTTAACAGCGCGGATCTCATTAGTCACGTATTCCCAGTCGCCCCCGAGGACCTTGCCGATATTGGCCACCATGTCAATCTCGTGGGCTCCCGTCTTAACGGCATCTTCGGCTTCGAGCACCTTTATAGCCGTGGTGCTGTTCCCGTGAGGAAATCCAACGACGGCGCATATGAGAACTCCCGATCCGTCAAGGACGTCCCTCGCCGCGGAAATGCTGTAAGGCTTGACGCATGCCGCTGCGACCTTGTTCCTTTTAGCTATCTCGAGGCCGGCAAGGATCTCTTTATCGGTCATGGCAGGGTGTAGCAAGGAATGGTCGATGACTTTGGCGATCTGCGCGAGACTCACGGCCACGGCTGTACGCGTTGCCATTTTTTGGGTAGGGGCTGAGCTGGTGAGGCTCGAATATGATGCCATCCTCGTGGATGAGCTTCACGAGAGACGAGATTGAACGTCTCGGAGCGATATCTGTTGTAAATTCACCCTTGTCAATAAGCTACCTCTACCTACCTTAGATAGATAATCACTTTGAGCAACGGTAGATACCAGGAACTTGGATATATTAGGAGATGCCCTAATAACTCTGGGTCTCCGTTACAGGACCCAAGATCTGTGGGCGATGCGGGGTTTGTCGCATCACATTGCGATTAGAGTACAGATTTTCCATCATCGCCACTTCATAGTGTAGTGTTAGCTCAATTTACCCCTTGTTCCGCGCGTGTTCTTAGATACTTGGGTAGGCATGGATGCAATATATGCTAGACTCGAGTTAGTTCCCATGCAGCACACACTTAATATGGCAGTGATTCGTTGCCACGATGGTACCTACATATGCAAGGAACATGAAGGTAAGAATCAGGGGGTGTGATACGAAAGTACCTACAGGCAAGTAAACTCATACGAACCTCGTGTTATATTATATATATTTGTGTGCGTGTATGTATATATGGATACCTTAGGAGGTATGTTTAGTAGTAATAGAAGCGCATCATGCTAGAGGAAACCTGCTCTCCCGATACGCGTCCACTCGGAATTTAACCCCATAGTTGCTGCCAGTCAAACCAGTTGGAGGAGGTTCCGAAATCGAGATTTCCTTCGAGGGCGGCGTCTACTGCGCCCAAGTCGAAGGTTGGGTCAAAATGACCGAAAACATCAAGGTCCGAGACTTCTTCGAGAATCGGAAACTCAGCACCGTGAGTATTATAATTGTTAAGAGCATCGTCCGCGCTCGGAGGAGGCAGTTCTCGGTCTCGTGGTGCCGACTCGCCCTTCTTTGAAGCATCTACCAAACCGGTTTCCTGTGTTATCGACGCAACCGCCTTGTCCATTTCCTGGAGAACCTGTTCAGCCATTGCCACTGTAGTCTTCGCGGTCCAGAAAGTGTCGTCCATTGATTTTAGTAGCGACGTGTTTGCCATAAAGGATTGCTTGCCCCTACTTCTAAACATGGGGATATTGCTATGACGCATTTTCCGATACGACACACTAAGCGACAAGGAGACGCCGTACGGAATTATAGGCAAGTATGATAGCTGCCCTAGAAACTCACGTCCGACGATGGAAGTGATTCGGTCGGCCGCCAAAGATCGACGGCTGTTTGTTGCAGGCGCCGGGAGGGCAGTAGAGCGATTTTCAGATGGTGACTGGCTTGAAAGTATGGCAACTGAATGGTAGAATATTTCAAGCGAAGCTAACTAGACATGAGTACAACTTCTTTTAGTCGTCAAGACATTTACTTACCTAGACATGAGCTTGAAGCCCGAACCGCTCCGGCGTCGATGATCATTTGCTCAAAGATGGGTAGCTCAATAATGAATTCCTTTTCTCTCCGGCTTCCGGGGCGGTATAAACCGATAACCTTGTCGAGGAGGCCGATGATCATCAGAAATAGTCGGAAGAGTGGTGCTTGCGTTGCAATACAATCGTCCAGGTTCCAACCGATATCTCTTTCGTGAATGAGACAAGCTCGCCCGTAAAATGCGCTATTAAGGCGGTCCAAGGCCCAGAGACAACATAACAAGGAACGAGTAGCTTGGCTATTCGTATGGCTTTCTTCCGAAGCCATCTGTAATCCTAGAGTATGCATTTGATGAACCGCACGACCATTAAGCAACGCCGGGATGTCGGCTTCGTCAGGACTGCGAGGTTGCATATATAATGACAAAGCGGCTAGTATGCGAGTTAGGAAGATACGGTCCGTGATGAGGCCGGCGTCGATAGTCGTTTGGATTGCATCCGATAGAAGAGTGCAGAAGTCATGCCGAGAAAGGACAGGACCCTCGGGGTTCAAACGAAGATGACGCGAAGCTTCAGGGTCGGAAGCAGCCGCAAGGCTAACTATTTGCTTTAACACTTTCTCTTTTATCTCTTCATCGGACTGAATTGTCGAGTGGCCGAGGATAGGGAAGATAGTATCCAGCTTGTCAAAGTAGATACGGCGGAGAACCACATAGTCTGAAGGCGGAGGGCAGCAAGGAAGGCAATGACTCCTTACGTATACTCTAAGTATGTCCTGAACGGCTTGTCGCGATGGTGATCTCAAGGAAAGGGGACTAGCCGCTTTATCTACATCGAGTGCTCGAGGTTGCCATATCCCCAAGCCACCTCTCACCGATACATCGCGAGTTGAGCAGAGACTCGTAGCCTCCATAAGAATTGCTTCGGGGCTCAGGTCGCCAACAAATCTAGAAGCATGTCGCTCCGGACTCTGAGCGTCGTTGGGACTACGGAGAGGCTCGCATCGTGGAGGAATAGGGTGGCCAGTTGGATTACGGGTCGTAGCATCCCCTTCCCCGGATGTCAAACTAGGCGGACTACCTTTAGAGATATCGCCATCGTGACTATGAAAGCATCTCTTCTTCCGGCGTCGGCACCTAGCACAGGCCTGGGCGACCTGCTTCCTCTTAAGGGGTAAACCTGTCGAGTCGGACTCGATGAATCTAACCATGGCCATGAACCGCGGCGATACCCCAGAAACGTCAACTCCGACGCTGATCACAAGTAGTATTAACTTCTAAGAGAGGAAAACTCTTAGCATGGCATTCTCAGTACGGCGGGACCGAGAAAGCAAACGCGAACCAGGATGTCGGCGAATAACCTAAGAAGGTAATGACCGAAAGGATCCCGAGAGATATCGCTATTTAAGCGAGGTACTCACATATAAAGCAAGCACCGTCTGCGCTATTCGTGTGGTAAATATTACGAAGCTCTTGTGAACAAACCGATCAGCAGGTTTGTACACGCGTTGTGCTGCTGGTAGACATCGTATGAACATTAGGAGAGGCGGAGTCGGATTTACTAAATATGGCAACTCCGTATCTAGACCCGAACGGCCCCCGCTCAAGAATCTTAGTAATTAACTACCTAACTAGGCAGTAATAATGGGAACTCCGACGTTATGTGATTGGATAGTTGACAAGGAGACTTATACCGGCTCTTCTACTCTAATACTCTAAAACTTGACTAGTAATTAGGACCGCGGCAATACAATAAATACCAAATTACCTACGTAGTATGATGTGTGATACCCGTTCTTGGTGCGTTACACTAAAACCGCCGCGCTGCTGTCGGAATTCAAGAAACCTAAATAGGAAATTCCGGCAACTCTCCTCCCCTAGATGTAGGTAAGATGTTCAAGTAGAATCGATGATTGAGATACCATATATAGCATTACCTAAACAGTATGATAAAACTCATCTTCCTTCGTGACTTTCCATGCCTTGTCTCAATAAGGACTATAAGGTTAGGTAGATGTTGTCAACCTGCTCCTTATATCCTCTAGCTTAAGAAGAAGTTAATCAAATACTTACCAATCTACTCTTTACTATCACCGATATCATGTTGCGCACTATTCCGAGGCGGTTATCAATAAACACTCACCAGATAAGATCAGTCATGGGGACAGCGACCCAAACCCAGACTAAAAGGGAGGGTGATATTTCCGACGCCTTTGTCTCATTATCCGGCGCCGCTAGACCACCTCTTCCTCGGCGGTTTCTTGACCTCAAGAAGACTTTGGTTAGCGGTCATGAGGATCGTGTAATTGATAGCTGGAATCGACTTCTCGCCGAGCTGAAACGTGAGAATAAGATAAT